TGAACCCTGCATCTCCAGGAATTGGCACAGGGAGCTGGCAAGGGAAATTCCCACTTTTATATAGGGTAGCTGGGGATTAGGGTCACAAGTCAACAGGGTAGGGAGAAAGGGACAGGCATAGGTGAATAAACATTGATATTAATGTATAGACACTTAGGATCCAGTGTTACCCAGATCACAAGCAACCTTGTGGGTAGGCTAATGATAAAAGAAGTGGAAACAGGTCTACAGCCCAATCTTTTATTTGCTTGCACTTTAGAACATGAAAACAAACATTTATCCCAAAGTCTGTCTGGTTGCCTGTGACAGCACAACATATATTCTCACCTATACCAGCTGGGGAGACTCGAGGGGTGGGAGGTGGGTGGCATGCAGATTGGTAGCAGGTTTTGTTGAATTTGCTGAATTCTCCAAAATTTCCCTCCAGCCTATGCCCAATATTTATGGATGGCTGGTTTTAATATTTTAATAAATGATCTCCGATTGGTTTGATTTAAATTTCTTTGTTTCCCTGAAACTTTTGGAACTGGACTGAACCAGATCTCTTGTGGACATGGAAGGTGTCAATTGGAAAATATCCTTGGGAAAGAAGGAGGGTTTCTTATCTCCTTTTCTTCCCCATTGTGGAATGTGGTTCTTGTTTCTTCTTTACCTTACTTTACTGTTTTTTCTGACAAAACTGTTTTTGTTTGTACAAATTATCTAAACTTTAAAAAAAAAATATCTATTATAGCAAAATAACAGCTAATACATTTGGTTACATCAATCAAGTAGTACTACTACTACTTTAAGATGAAGGTGCGATATCATATATCTGGATTATTTAACGTATGGTCTTCCCTTATCCCCTGTCGGGCCTTGTGCTTTGTTTAATTGTTTTTGGTGGTTTCCTTTACTTGCTGACCAAGCTAGCAGTTACATTTGCAAAGATTCACACTGCAGTTACTCAAAAAATGGCCAAGGCTGGCAACACCAGGTAGAAAACAATGACCCTGGGGTAAAATCACTCAAGAACAGGTAGCATGTAGGGAACGCTAATACTGTGGTATATACACTTGAAAAACCTTACACCCTCCCACAACTCCAGAGGAATGCCCAACAAACCTCTGATCCAAAAATGCTTTGTTGCTGTCTGCCAGGGCTCCCACGTCTGAGCCCTGCTGCTTCAGCTCCTAGTCCTGGCTCTGCTGATTCTTCTAAGTCTCTGGCCACGCGTCTCTCTCAGCCACAGGTCCCATGCTCCATTGCTGCTTTCCTGCTTCCTCTTGTCCCCTTCTGGGAATTGTAATGCATGTTACAGTTCATTTCTCCAGTCCCCTGGAAGCTTCTGAGAGCTGTAGTTCACATTACAACATTACAGTACATAACATTCAATATTACAGTCCATTACAACATTAAAGGGGTTAGAGATGCTTTTTAACTGTGTTTCATGTCACTTTGTTATTTTTTAAAGCCCTGCACAGTGGAGAGCCTCTTTGCTCAGTGTAAGGGATGCAGTTTAACCTCTCCTAGTGGGAGTTACATTTTCTGCTTTCTTAGGTAACCTTGAAATTCCTACCCTTTAATTATGTGAGGCTGCACCTTGCCCTGTCAAGCTGTATCTTGCCATAATGGTGGTAAGAAAATCCAGTTAACCAGCTCTGAACGTGATGTGACAAAGGGCTGACAAAAGGCAACTTTGTTTGTTCTAATCAGGAATTGAGATACCTAGCAAAGTTTACTAGTAATGGCCTCAGGCCTCACTGTGTTGAACACTGAAAAGCAGTTCCTACCCTGACATGCTTACCACCTAAGGCAGGGGTGAGCAATTATTTTGGGCGGAGGGCCGCTTACCCAGTTTTGGCAGGCTGTTGAGGGCTGCATGGGTAGCCCTGTCCCTTAACAGGTGCCCCGCCCCCTGGTCACCATCTTGGGACCAATGTCCCAGGGCCTGCACCGATGGGGCCCAAAGCAGGCATAAGCCGGCAGGGGTCTGTGAAGCCGGGCTGGGTTACACCAGCAGGGAGAGGGGGGAGCTGGCCCGGCTCCATAGAGCCCCTGCCAGCTGGAACCTCACACTCCTGCCACCCTCCTCTGGGCTCTGCTGGTGCTGGGACACCAGTGTGGGTCCCGTGCTCCCGCTGGCTCCCGTGCCCACTCACACCCAGTGCCCCCCAGCCCCACAGTACAGGCAGGGGGCAGCACACAGCCCCGACCCCTATGCTATTCTAACTGATCCTGTATGCCTGTCAACTAGTGGTTCTCAACATTTTTGGCTTTGGAGCAAGCACCCCTCCATACCTGGGTTGAATTTAGTGGCACCCTAATTGAGAACCACTGATCTAGCTGGTGCCAGGTAAGGACAGTGGGGTCTGCATCTAAATCCATCATGCCCTGCTCTTTCCATCTCCCTACCCCTGTCTATACCTGCGGGGACAAGGAGCTGCTCCGCTGGGGTCTGGCTTGTTGGAGGCTGGAGCCAATTACCCCCACAACCCCTCCAACTAGCCCTGGGAGTGGGCGAGGACCAGGGCAACAAGCCACCCTGACAAGCATGGTTCCATTACCATGTCTGCCTACCTGTGGTAGACCATGCTGCTCAGAGCATGGGTGTTGCTGGCAGGGGGACTAGGAGGGCTGCAGCAGGAATCCCCAGAGGAGCAGCCATGGGTATCTTTTGTCCACAGGATGCTAGGGTGGGCACAGTGTGGCCAGATGGGAAGAGAAGAGTACTTCCCTCAGGGTCTGGGCACTGCAATGCCCTTAAAAGGATCTTAAAAGGCACTGTGGTTGAGAGGCACTGTCATGGTCAAACCTAAATTCACAAGATAGTCACAGGGTCTGAGGAGGAACAGAGCGGAGGCAACTTGCCAGAAGTTGTTGGCAGTGGATTTATGACCTAGATACCTTATTTTGGGCGGACCCAAACTGTCAGACCAACCACAACCTCTTCCATTTGATACTAGGCAAATGTTATTGATACACAGTGATAGCAGATAAGTGTAATGCAGGCAAGACAAACAAATCCCACCCCCCACTTTCTATATCTGCCAGTCCTGGGGTTCACAGAGAGAAGGTACATGTGGTCAGTATATGAGCTTCACCCTGTGGTTCTTTCTTGAATGTCAGATGTCAGCAGCCTGGAGGTCAAGGACCACACACGCCCCCCCCCAGTGGGTTGGGTGAGTTGGGCTAGTGGTGCACCCTCTGTCTGTGGTTGCCTCGGGTTCTCCCACTGGGGACCTTTTGCTTCTCTGAAGTCCCTCCTTTTGTATCCTTTTTCTCCTCTGATGACTCTTCATTTCCAGATACCATTGAGTCGTTTCCCTGTTGTCATCATACTGCCCACATTCTGTTCTGCCATCATATTCCTCTGTTTCCAGACCTATCATGTGCAAACATCTTAATCTGGCCACTTACTGGTGTCTTAATTTGGGCATGCCCTGGCCTCCTAATTTGTTCCATCCACAAAAACCAGAAATCCCAAAGGCTCTGCATCTTGTCTAGTTCACGGTGACCATGTGGCAAGCATATCTTTTGTTAAGGGTATACTGTTCAAGTTTCCTAGCCTGATTGTCTGCTGGCCTCAGACACAGTATCTGCCTTGAAGGCTGTGAACTTTTGTCACAAACAGGCTTTTAGAAACCAGTTAACCCTGTTGGCTACAAAGGACCAACTCACAGGATCATCATAAATTTCTAGTTTATTAGACGGATGCAAAAGTCAGATCATAAACCTTGGGGCTGATCCCCTCAAACACGCATACATTCACACGCACACGCACACACACGCAGTAGCTAGCTATGAACATTCAGTACCAATGTCAAGATATACCTATCTCCAAGCACTGGAGTCTACCGTTGATGGCCAGTTGAGGCTTCTTTCAGTGTGATGTTGCTTCAGAAGGGGGTTGCCAGCTGGTCCTTCTGGCTGGGCAGGCAGGGTACTGGTCAGGTCAAAGAGGGCACCATTCTTCACTGCCTTTTATCCCTCTCTGGCAGACTTTGGTGACTCCCCAATTTTCAGGCTTACCCAATCCAGGGGCTGTTGACCTTGTGGGACATCCCCCTTGGTGGTTGCTGGATGGCAGCTGTCAGCCCCAGGGGTCACGTCCACAGGTACATGAACTCTTGGAAGCCCATTGATGAAATTTGATTAATTCACTGCTGTGATTAGTTCAAACTGGGGCTTCTGTACCTATAACAGTGAAGTTTCAAGGAGTTCCTAGCTCTGTATTGATCCTTTCCTCTCCTCAGTCTGTGGTTTCATAGGTGTTAATTGCCACTCATTAGCTTATTATCCTGTCTAGCTGCTGTGTTACACAATCAATCAAGACTCATTCAGGGACCCACTCCATACAGAGAAGTTGTGGTTTGGTTCCCGCCCTCACTAACACTGTTACATGGTACAACTTACTTTTAAACTTAAAGTATATTTGTTACAAAGTTAAAAAGCACAGAATATAAAACATAAAAGGGTGAAATGCCATGGCACATACAACAAATAGACCAAATACAATAAGGGGAGGGGGGGATGACATACTGATACATCTACAAACTATATTTTTATTATAAGTACACCTTATATTATATAAAAATAATTATAATAGAAGAAGAGGGAGGAAGGAAGAAAAGGTAGAAAAGAGAAAGCATACCCAAAAGGGGGCAAATACTATAAAAGGGGCTTTTTGCCATATGGAGGGGCTTCACATTGGAAGTGGGGAGCAGGCAAAAAAAGGTTTCTTGCTACAACCCTTGCTGCCCCCCTGGACCATTGTTCTAATACAGTATCTACCTACCTACAAACCAATTCCTAAAAGCAAACCTCTAAATACCATTTTCTAGCCATCAGAAGTCACACAGAAGTTGGTAGAAGAGTAGATCCCTTAACCCTAAAATGCTAAACTTCACTGCTTCATAACAGTGGCCAGAATTTCCAGATCTTAAATTCAGGGCTTGTAGCCTCCACTCCAGAAAGAATAAGACAATTGCTAACATGGGCTTCTTCTCTTTTGCCTGCAGGAAGGCCCACCACACTGTGTGAAACAATGGGGAAAGCAGAGATGTGGTTGATCCGAACATACTGGGACTTTGAATTCCCTCGCCCATTCCTGCCCAACTTTGAGTTTGTTGGGGGACTCCACTGCCAGCCTGCGAAGCCATTACCTGAGGTACCCTGATTCTCTCCATCATCATGCTGTTTGTCTGCCCAGCCAGAATGTGACAATTCCTTTCTGTGCTCTTTGACTGTGGGCTCAGTACCCCAAGACAGGTCACTGAGAACAATGGAAGTTTTGGAAAGGAGAACTTTAGTGCTACTTATTACTACAAAGTCAAATACTCCATTGCTGATTGAAAACACAGGGCCAGCTCCCAACCTATGATGCTTTAGACTGTAGGATCTGGCCTATCAATGACTCGCCAGCTTGCTGGGAGTCAATAGTTAAAGCCTAGTGCTAGTTAATCTGGTGCTCAGTTTAAGAAAATGTGAAGCCAGAGTGCTATCTCCAGTCATGTTTTTAGTTATGCACAAGCTTTAACTGCCTTTAGAAAGCAAATAACAGCCAGTGTCAATTTAAATGATGGAATATCCTATGAAAGCCACAGTGTGATTGGTTAGATTAGCAGCATAGTAAAAATGGAGGCTGAGATTCTCCAAAGGAGCTAGTGACCTTGCTGTCTTGAGGGTCTTTTGATGCCTGATCTGATATCCTTTCCCCACCTTCTGCCCTGAGGTGTGTGTACACCCACCACTTCCTGTGGACCCTGGTGGAGCTACTTACAGCCTCCCGACTGCCTGCCACACCTGGCCCAGGTTCTGGGCAGGCCCCTGCCACACACCATGGAGCCTGGGCTGCTTGCAGCAGGTGGCAGGGAGGCTACAAGCAGCCCTGGCCTGGCTCCTTGTCAGCAGCAGGTACACACATGCCTTGAGGCTGTTTACCTGGAGGTAAGCATGCCAAGCAAAATGGCTTCATGTGCCATACTGTAGCATGCGTGCTGGAGATTGCCTACTCCTAAACTATGTGTTTGCATTGCTTACCTCGGCTACAAGGCCTTTGGATATGTCTAGTGAACCTTCCCTAGCTGGCTTGTTTCCATTAACCAGCTACATGGAGCCAGGGAGGTGGCAGATTGTATACCAACTGACTTGCATTGCAGTGACTTCACTGGGTGGGATTGTAAGTTCCCAGGGACGTGCTGAAGACTAGGGCTGTGCGAAACAGCACCGTACCACTTTCACTTGCATTTCAATGGAACAGTGTTTTGTTTTGAGTTTCATTTCGATTCAAACACGCTGTTCCATTTCATTTCTTCGAAACTGTTTCTCCATTTCAACACTTTCCATGTTTCACACATAGGCTATAATGGAGAAGCACAAAACCACCTATAACTTTGTCATTTCTTGCCTGATGCAGATGAAACTTGCAGGAGTGGTAGCCCCTTCTGAGGGCATGAAGTCTGCCAAGTTTCAAGGAGATAGGTGCAGAGGTTTCTGGGAAACTGCACCTCAAGGTGTTGACAAGCAAAACTCCTGTCATTTGCCAGCAGCCTCCTGTCATCTGGCAGGCAGATTGGAGGCCCGCCCGCACCCCCAGAAGGGCTGTGGGGCTCTGCCAGACTCCTCCCAGGAGTGCAGGCCCCTGATCTCCTTGGCAATTCACAGGAGGCTGCTGCTGCCAGCTGGGACTGGCACTGGGTGCAGCCCGCACCCAGCACCAGGAAGATTGGTGCTGCTTCTGGCCCCAGTCGGCAGCAACAACATGCTGTCATCTGGTGCACAGATCCTGGGGCCCGCACCCCCAAGAGGGCTGGAGGATGTGCCAGAATTCTCCCAGGGGGTGCAGCCCTCGGATCTGTGCTGGATGACAGGAGGCTGCTGCTGCTGGCTGGGACCAGCGCTGAAGCCAAGTGAGCCTGACTTTAAAACTCGAAATGTTTCAAACTTTTGAAATGTTTCGAGTGCCCTTTTTTCATTTCAAAGCTGTTTTGAAGGCTTTTGTTTCAGTTCAATTTCACTATTTCAAGCTCGAAATGCATCAAAACAGCTTCAAAACGAAACACCTGGAGAAATTTCACACAGCCGTACTGAAAACCCTTCTTCATGCAGCCAAGAGGCTTATGTGTCGTTTAGATCTAAGGAGACAAGTCCTCCGATGGAGTGGCCCTTATTGCTGGTGTGAGGTGATGGAGGGATGGTGGTGTCTTGCCCTTGGATATAGGTAGCTGCTGCTGGATTTCAATGGGATACCATTAGGCAATACTGCTGCTGTCCCCCTGGGCTGCCACATGGATAGCCAGAAGGGCTATAGTCACGTGTATGGAATCTGTGGGCCATACATCTTGAACCTTGGGACCTTTCTGAGAGGTCACCCACTGTTCCATCTTGTTGCCCCTCCTGTTCAAAATGTATCTGAGACCATTGGATGAGACTGTGTAGAGATTTGGAGTAAGATTCCATTAGTATGCTGATGACACCCAGCTCCAATCTTTCTCACATCTGACCCAAGCCTCCAGTCTAGATCCTTATCTAGTGCCTGGCTGCAGCTGGGGATTGGATGTGAGTGAAGTAATTGAAGCTGAATCCAGAGAAGACAAAGATCATGGTGGTGGGCATACCTCATGCCTTGCGGGGATTGGGACACCCATCACTGATGGGGTTCCACCTCCTTTTGTCACTTAGGTTCATAGCCTTGGAGTGCTCCTGGATCCTCTGCTGTACCTGCATTCTCACATTGCAGCAGAGGCCAGGAGCACCTTTCACCAAATCTACCTGGTGAGAAGGCTGCAACCTTTCTATAAAATTTGGATCTGTTCACCATCCTTCATGCTCTTGAAAGCTCCAGGCTAGACTACTGCCATGTGCTCTTTGTGGAGATACCCTTGGAGACCAATTGGTAGCTGCAGCTGGTGCAGAACGTGGTGACCAACCTTCTGACAGGAATGGATTACTGGGAGCACATTTCTCCAGTGCTCCAAAGCCTGCACTGGCTTCCAGTGATCTTCTGGGTTGAATTCAAAGTGTTGGTCTTCACCTGTTAAGTCCTAAATAGTCCAGACTCAACATGCTCAATACTGTATAAATATATACTTTACTTTGGTATTTTATTGAAAGCCACTCTACACCTAGAAATCTAATAAATAAATAAATAAATGAACCTGAACATGGTACCACACAAGCATGCCCTCCATGTGCCACCAGGAACATGAGAGGAAGCAGGACACTCTCGTTTGGGGTCACCCATTTCTGGAACTTTATCCATAAATCTGATCCTGACTGTTGCCATGCCCTATTAACAGATGTTAGATCTCAGTGGTGAATTTAGGCATCTGGCCAGGGTTCCTGTATTAAAGATGGTAGATGTGGAGAGAAACCATGGTCTGTGCTTCCAAACTTTTAGGTGACAGTAATGACTAATTCTACTGCGCATGAGCACATTATCATGGCTTTCGCCCACACACAATGATCAAATTTATCTTCTTGCATCCCTTCGATAAACTAAGTAGATCAAGTGTTAGCTATACATCAAACTACTCAGGTTGCATGGTATATTTATGTTTAGTATATTGTCCCTGCTTCAATAGCACTATAGGGTGCTGCTTCTTTACAAAATAAATAAAAAGGCTTTTTTTTTTTTAAACTTTTTACAGGAAATGGAAGAATTTGTCCAGAGTTCAGGGGAACATGGCATTGTGGTGTTTTCTCTGGGCTCAATGGTTCACAACTTGACTGATGAGAAAAATAACATGATTGCTACAGCCCTCAGCCAGCTTACACAGAAGGTCAGTTTTAGATGGGACCAGGAGCATTGCTAGAGAATCCCTACAAGCCCGAGCCCGCAGTTTTCAAACTTCATTGCCTAGCAGGTAATGTTATGTGGCCCAGTTTGAAAGTGGGCATTTCCCACTGAAATCCAACTGAAGAGGATTTCCAAGGAAGAAAGTTTGAGCCCCCAGTGACCACAGAGAAGAAAGTCTAGCATTCTTTCACTTTTTTTAACAGAAGCACTAGCAGGTACTTTCCCATCCAACACTGAGGAGCATCCTTTAAAGGAGATGTGTTGATCACTGAGGCAGCTCAAAGACACCTGAAAAAACAAGAACCTGATCCCAAATTGTTTAAAATCACAGGGATGACACTTTCAGACTCTGCTGGGCTTTGGCTCAGGCCGCAAATCACATTTATTGCAAGTGGAACTACAGTACCTTTATCTTTATTTTTGTTCTAGGTTCTTTGGAGGTACAAGGGAAAGAAACCAGAAACATTAGGAACCAACACTAGAATTTATGACTGGATACCCCAAAATGATCTGCTCGGTGAGAGTTTGATTGTGTCAGAGCTTTCATAGGCTCCCTCCCATACTGTTTCCATTTCCAGCAAAAAAAGATTAGACAGTGCATCAAACAAACAAATCATGCACTTAATGTGTCCTCACTTTCACATGAAGTAACCCAGAAGTCAACATTGTGTCCAAGATGTTGAATGCTTAGTTATTTAGAGAAAGACACTGATACAAAATTGATCACATTTCATGATGGCAAAGTCGGACTGCCCAGGTAATGTACTCTAGGGACCTTTCTCTTTCTAGTAACTGGTTCATCAGAGTGGTTTGTCTCTAACAGCTTCCAACAGCAGGGCTTAGTCCTTTCAGTATGAGAAATGTATTTCTTTAGTTCAGTGGCTCTCAACCTTCTTATACTCAAGGTGCCCCCTGGATAGATTTGAGGCACCCCTTGGAAACAGACAGCTTTTATTTTCCACACAGGCATGCCCTCCATGTGCCACCAGGAACATGAGAGGAGGCAGGACACTCGTATGGGGGTCACCCATTTCTGGAACTTTATCCATAAATCAGAACCTGACTGTGGCCATGCCCTATTAGTAGATTTCATAGACATTTGGGCTGGAAGGGACCCCAGAGGATCTTTGAGTCCAGTCTACCACCCCAGGGGCAGGAAGTCAGCAGGGATCATAGGATCCCAGCAAGATAAGCATTCAAATGTCTCTTGAAGGCATTCAAAGTGGGTGCATGAACTGCCTCCGGCGGGAGTCTATTCCAAAACTTGGGGGCTTGGACAGTTGAAGAAGTTCTTTCTTAT